TTATATATTTTTTATTATATATTTTTTATTATATATTTTTTATTATATAATTTTTATTATATATTCTTTATTATATATTTTTTAGTATATATTCCTTATTATATATTTTTTATTATGTATTCTTTATTATATATTTTTTATTATATATGTATATATTTATATTTTTTATTTACTTTGATTTATTATGCCAAATTAAAGTCCATAAATATTTTCGCTTAAGATCATAGCTCACAACATTTTTACCACATTTTCAAACTTTGAATATATTATTTGATTACCCTCACACTTCGCTTAAATATAGCAAATCTTCAATAAACGAAAACTAAAACAATACACTCATGCAATATAAAACGAAAACAAAACAGAAACGCGTGTATTTTTTTCTCACATTGTTGCTGTATGCTAAAATAAGAAAGTACATATACATATTAATTTTTATTAAAATGTATGCATGTGTAATAAAAATGTATAATTGTGTTCTGCTGAAGCACAAAAATTTCAAACTCGCTACGTCAAGTTGGCATTATGTTCTATATGTATACATGTACATATGTATGTAGTTGTGTTTTACAACTCTACTCTGTTAAAAAGATGTAAATTTCCACTTAAATTTTATGTATTACAAAATTTTCAACAATTATAACAAATGCTAAGCTAAAATTTCTTCACATAATTTGCTAAAAGAATTTTTTTACATGTATTGCTGCATAGCAACGCTAAAATTTTCTTCAAATTCAATTCAAATTGTAATATTTTCTTCAAATTATAATCCATGTATGTAAACGTATAATTAGTAGTAAAATAAAATCTAACGCCCCCATAAAATACTTGTACTTTTTGCACGTATGTACTTCCACACAATCCGCCTTTTTCACACGTTTATATTATTATTATTATTTAAATTGTATACTTCCCTATTTACTGTACTTAAATTGTAGTATAAAATTTATAAATTATTTTAAATAAAAACAAAATAATAAATTCGCATACACATACAGACACATTTAGCTTTCTACCTAAAATTCTTTTCGCGTATTGCTAATACAAGAGAAGAAGTAAAAAAAAAAAACAAATATATTAAATAATGAAAAACTTCGTAGTATAATTAAATATACATTTTATGTAAATGTTTATAAATTATAAATGAGAAATAATAAAATGAAAATGCGATAAAACAAAATCTAGAAAAAAAATACAACTTTTCTTTGCCCTCTGCTCTGTCTGCGCTGTGTAAATCTACTTTAGAAGACTTTTACTAACTGCTGCTTTGCTGTGATTTTTAAAAATTAAAATATTCATTGACTGACCTTTTATAAAACAAAAAAAATTAGTACTGGAAATTATTATTATTATTTTTTTAATATTGTCGTTTCTACTTTTTATCAAAATCTAACGTCTACTAAGATCTCTTCGACTCTTTTTAAGTATGTATGCTTTCAAGCTTTTCTATTGAAACCTATTCTTCTATTTACTCTATTTTTTCAAGCTTCTCCAATTTAATATCTTATTTCTCTATCAAATGCCATTTTTCAAATTAAGATATATAGCATACACACACGCATATTTAAGCAAACTTATAGCATAGTTTACCAGCATTCCTATATTTTTATTAAAATTTTTGTGTATACAAAGTAAAGGGAATCAATTAAGTAGCAGATATTGCTAATTCATCCGACAAAAAACAAAAAATAACAATACTTATGCATTAATTTGAGGGAAAACTTATTAAAAAGTAATTTTATGCAAATGTAAACAGCCCACTTAATAAAAAATGTAATACATAGATGATAAATATTATGGAAATTTTATTCTTACCGTTGGAATGCCGGTTGCGGTGTTAATAAAAAACCTGCTGGCTGATAGTTTTTGCCTTGGTCCCTTTACAACGCAACTTTTTAGGAGTGGATTGCTATTCCTTGCAACTGCATTCCTTTGTACAATTAGTAGCATTTTCGCTTTAAATTGTTGAACAAATTTTTGTTTTTGTTGCACCATCTTTTTATTATTACAAGCGTATTAACAGCTTTTATCATAACTGTATCAAAAATACCACTATGATTTTCGTGTAATACTGTAGAAGCTATAAACTTATCCGGATAAAGTCTATTCGCAACCGTAGTGTGTACAAAAGAGCACTTTACATTGTTTTGAAGTTATTAATACCCTGATAAACTTTACGATCAGCACACAAAATATATAGAAAGCGGAAATGCTACAGTGCTACAGCTACAGCCAATAGGCGCTGATATTCAAATAGCTTTTTAGGCTGCCGTATTTCGTAAACTGCATATTTAATGACGATTACCTTAATGGTATGCATACTTATCTTTACAACAATTTGTTATATCTTACATATAATTATTATATGTTATATAATAAATTAGTCTATTATTATTATTTGTGTTATAATGATTTTATATGTCTTCGCTGTGTTTAGTAATCTTAGCGCTATGCATTTCGTGCGACCCTGCAGTAATCCAATCAGCTGTTTGCAAACGTCAATGGAAATAAACAAAAATATTTGTGGCAACGAATTACAAAATTTATATTTTTCTTAATTTGTGTATATTTTTAAATAAAATTAGTGAAATTTTGGTGGTGGTTTTAGCAAAATGGGTTTTCCACGTATATTAAGTAAAAATAATAAGATATATACGAAACTGGGTGAGTTTTGCTTGTCGGGTGATGCGAGTTTCTGGATTGTTTGCCAAGTGTGCCAAGAAGAGCTACAAACACAAGATCAATTCTGGAAACATATACAAGATGAGCACAACTTCATGCATGGCTTGGGATTTAAACAGGTGAGTTGTGTACAAATTAATGCACATGTAAACATGCTTATACACAATTGTTTTGTGTAAAATTTGTAAAAGGAACAAGCACGAAATTATATGGAGCCTGAGGCGACCACAACACACATTATGCCTTTGCCATTATATCGTAAAGTTAATGAAGAAGAACTACGTGCCAGTGGGGCGCTTGATCATGGTGGCGATAATTCACAGGAAAAGCAAGAACCAAAGGACTATACAGAAATGCGCGCCATCGAACCGAATGCAGTAGAAATTGACATAAAAGTCGAACCGCCTAGTATAAGACATGCACTAGCGTTGGCACCACCACCGCCCGTACCGCAGAACGTACACGCCGTTAGTAACGTTGCTGCAGGCGCTGGAACTGGCGTCACACATCAAAACGTTGAGGTAAGCACAGCTACGCCAGCCTTATATCAACTGCCACCAGTGACACCAGCAAGTTCATATGGCACCACAATTATACATAGTGCACCAACGCTAACACACACAATGGGTATGTCAAACGCAGCGGCGGCTGCGGCTTTGATGTCCCAAGAAATGCCAAAAGAATCGAATAGTACTACGGCGAGCGCCAGTAGTGCGATGTCGTCAGAAGACGGTGAACGCTGGTATGTATGCGATTATGAAACCTGCGGCCTAAAGTTCAAATATCAGTCACGTTTAGAGTTGCACCGTGCTGTGCACAGTAAAGAGCGACGTTTTGCGTGCGAGCTTTGTGGCGCCTCGTTCAAACAATCGTGCAATTTGTCAACGCATCGTAAGAAAAAACATTTTCTGAAAGGTTCGAAGGGACTAGTGCCGCAGCGTTTTTAAAATGCAACGCAACCTAACAAATTATAAATTGAGTTTTTTAATTTGTACACTGTTTTTATTATTTCTATACTTTTTTGCGTCATTTGCAAATGTAGTTGCAATATTATTTTTTAGTACCAATAACAAAAACTAGTGTAGTTTTTAAGGAAAAATAGCCTTTTAAAAATACAAAATATTTCACTTATAAAAGAAGAAAAAGTGAAATTGAAAAATATATTATATTTTTCCCAGAAATTCGTGCAAGTTCAAGTTTAGTCTTAAGAAAAATTGTTTTTTTTTCTCTTTAGTGTTAAGAGATTTCTTTTGAAATACATATTTACAAAAATATATAAATACTTTTTCTATACTGTATATGTAAATAACATTTTACGTTATTAAATGCATACGCATAGAGTATTGTAAAATGTAAATGTTTGATTGTAAACAAATCAAACGCGATGGTACAATTAATATGTTTTTAAGATTTTAGTGGATAATATATTCTTTTTGCCCCGATTCAGTACAAAAATAAAATTTCTCGTTTTTTATTTATAAAATATGGAATAGAGCATACTAATTTGTAAGTGGCCTATATTTGTTACGTTACAACTACAGTTGCATATTCAAATATAGTTTTTATATCACTTTTTAATAAAATAGTTTATTTCGCAATTTTTAGTTTCATAAAAATATAAATATATATATGTATGTATAGTTTTGTCTTATAAACAACTTTAATTATGTTTGGAACAAGCTTAAATTTCATAAGCTGTCTTTACTCGGAATGTAGTTAATAGTATTAGATACGCCATTTGGCAGTACTTTCTAAGCTCAATATCGGCTAGCGAACTACTTTACATACGTAGTTACATATACGGAATGATTTCGCCAGGAAAATTATGTACAACGCTAAAATATTAGCAAATTTGCACTTTTCAATATGAAAAATTAAGTTTCACCCACTAAACACTTCCTCAAATACTGAATCCACACTATCGGAATTTTCTTGATCGTTACGCGCCCGCTTATAATCGCCACTTTGTCCATTTGACGTTTCCTTTGTGCACAAAAAATCACAGCCATTATTTTCCACGTCCGTTTTATTTAATTGTTTTCGTTTCAAACGCTCATGTGCTTTATTGAAGTATGTCATAGTACGGTCTTTGAAGATGTTGAGCGCTTGATCTGGGAACTTTTCGCGGAAAACTCCTACACACACAATGTTAGAAAAATGTATAAAAAAAAAAATTCACACTTTACTGTACCTTGAAAGACGTCTAGCATAGTCATATCCTTAATTGGATATTTAATAATTTTGTCAGCGTTTAAAACACCACGCCAACAAAATTGATTGGATACTTCATCTGTCATAATGAAACGCCAAAGTACACGACAAAATACATCAGCATTCTCGGTAGCTATAGCAAGTGTTTCTTCGTGCTAAAAGATAGTAAACAAAATACTGTAAATTAGAGCACACTATATGGTTGTCTACATTACAACTTACAAGTGCGTCACGCATTTCTTTGCTGTGGTGCAGCTCATCATCCAAAATGAGCACTTCATCGCGACTGTTAAAAGGCTGATCTGGTATTATTTTCATATATCGCTTTAGCATACGACTACCAGGTTCTTTCTTCAATTCAGTCTCAATTATTTGTACGGCCTGTGTTAGCTTATTGAGCTTGTATTTGAATTCATCGTTAGCGCGTTGCATTTGCTGAAATAGGCTTTTCAGTAGTGTGCCATTCTCTAGCAATTGCTTGGGTGCAAGCTTATCGATATCTATGTTGGTTTCAAGCTTACCATTAATGTGTTGGGACTGAAGCTCCTTCTCTGATTGATTATTGTCAACTTAAATATAGTGCTTGCTATAGTTATCTAAATGTACTAATAAAATGCTGTGCCAACTTACTTTGCTGCATATTTGTTTTACTTTCTACAACGGGTTGAGTTTCTGTTGGCTTATCTTTGAAATCGAAAAATGTATTTGTTATATCTGTTAGCTCCATAAGGCCATTCGGATCATTTAGCACCACATTTTCTAGGTACTCAGCTTCGACATACATTGGTGCGTCATTATTGGCCACTTGTGCTGAGTTTATTTTAAATTTTTTTGAATCAGCAGCACCATCGTCCAGACCAACTCGCATAGAGCAACGACTCTCACTATGTTCACCGTTGAAATTGGATGTTTGCGATTTTTCATGCATCACACAAAGTTGTGCTGGTACATAGTCATGCATCTCTTGTATATGCGTCCAGAAAGCGTTTTCATTGTAATGTTCCTGCTGACAGAAGCAACAAATGATACAACACTGATTAGGTTCTGTTTCTGTAATACAATAATCGCCGAACTTTTGATAAATTTTATTATTTTGTCCAAGAATACGCGTGATGTTCATATTTTCCGGATAACTTCAGCCGGTAATTCGTTAGCTCGTTGGTTGCAACAACTGTCGGAAGAAATGTGTATTTTAATTTTGGAATTATTATTCTAACCGTTTTATTAAATTGGCAAAAAGCCGTAGTTGGCACAAAGAAATTGTGTATGATAAACAAGAGTTGCATATAAATTTGCATTGAACAGCATTTGCAGTGTTGTATTTGGATAAGAATTTCCCAAAATAAAATAGCAACAGTTTTAAAGCCTTCCAATTAAATAATTTGAGAGCTTATGTATAAACGCGTTCGTGTGCTAAAATTTGAGTAATTTCTAACCATGTTTTAAAATTTCGGTATTTTATAATACCGTTAATTTCAGTTCCTTTTTTTCTATTGAATCATAAAAATTACTTAAAAATCATTATAAAATGGTAAAACTCGGTTGAAAATGTATGTAGATGTTAACCTACGTTATATTTTTATATACATATGTACAATTTGTTTGGATATTTTTAACTAAATAAAAATTTTCTGTTTACTATCGTTCACTCCAAAATATTTTTTGTATAGTCTGATATATGCAAAACACCATAACGTTCAGAGGCCACGTGTAAATTTCTACCATTCACCAATTTAGAATTTATATGCGGATTGTGAAGCTCAGCGATCAGTGTACTGCAAGCAGCGGCAGGGTCGCCTGAACCGCTTAGAGAACCCTAAAGAAAAACTTAATTAGAAATTAAAATTAATAACGAATGTGACTTCATACGCACCAACCAAAACTCATTGCCTGGCAAAGCGTTGCCATCCCACGCATAAGACTCCACAATTAAAGCAGTTTCGTGCTCCGCTGGCTGCAATACAATTTCAAAAAAGTGATATATACTCGTAATGACATGAACTATCTTAATAAAATTTTACCAATTTCTGCGCGGGATTGCGATTGTTTAGCAGTATTTTAATACCACCATTAGGATGCGTATTCGCTGTCAGTATTGCACCATCGTAAAGCGCACCGCAAGCGTTTTCTTTGAAATACGAAAAGTGCACCACGTCGATATGTGTTAGGCGCGATGCCAACGTCAGCAGGCGTTCAGCAAAAGTTGCCAAAAATATCTTATATTGATGTTGTACTACACGCCAAACACCCAAGCCAAAGCCGACAACATGTAAATACACCTGCTTCTCAGCTAGAGCGCCGCGTACATTTGCCTCCAGCAGCAGCGTATCAAAAGAGATGGCATAACGTCGCTTCATCAGCACATTGTCGAATATGAACTCGGTATTCGGTACTTTATAGTAGCGTGGCGTGTCTAATGCGCATACCCGCTCAAAGAGTTGATCTGGCGCCTCATAGAAACTTGTCCAAAGCTGACGATAGCCAACAATGCGTTTATCTGCCTGCTCCAACTCACTCGTATTGTTGCCATAACCACGTGCTTTCGTATTTTGCGTGGGTGTTATGACTATATCCTGCCATTCCATAACATCTGGCACCTCAAAGCGTCCGCCAATCATACCAACAATCACACCAGACGGCTCAATTTTGGACTTATCCGCTTCAATGACGCCGCAATTGAAACGATTACCATCGTTGAGGAACTCTGTTTGCGAGGATACGGAGAGGAAAGCGGAGAGCTGCGGTGTAAAAAAAAAATTAAATTTGTATTTTTCAATTAATTTAGTTATTTTTCCACTTGATTACACACTTTAATTTCATCATAACTCAGCACATGTTTCAGCCGCAAGTAACCGCTCTCAGCGGCTGTACCAACATCATGGAATCCGCCGAAACCTTCTTGTCCATTCAAGAGCAAATAACTATCATCTGCGCCCATAAAAACCACGCAACGCTTTTCGAGTAAACGTTGTACGAAAGCGGTGAGTGTCATACCTTTGTAGATGGCGCATTCGATGTCATTACCTAAAAGATAACGGTATATGTGTATGTATATTAGAAGTGGTAAGAAAATTGTGCCAAGCTTATGTAGTTGCTTTTGTTGCAGCAATAAAAAATATATAAGCAGACTTAGTTATAAATACGAATACTTTCTGATTTTCTACCGTCCCTATTGAAAACGCCTATAAAATAGTACCAGTCGCGCATTTCAAGTTTAGTAGGCCGTTATCGGACCACTATGGCATATAGCTACCATCGAACGATCAAAATCAGGTATCTTAACGAAATCCCTGAAGAAATTGTTCAGATCAGAACACTATAGCATAATTGCCATACAAACTGATCGATCGAAATCAAGGATCGGCAAGTTATATTATAAGAGCCGATATCTTATGCTCATATATAAATACTCATTTTTGCTTCGTTGCGTTAGTTTAATAATACATTTATTTTATTTCAAACTAACTTAAAAACAGTTTCAATTTTAATAAATAATACTTATTTAAAAAAAAAATTGCACAATTAAGTTTTAATAAAAACTCAAAGAAAATTATATAACAACAATAATTGCTGCGTTAAGCTTTACGCCGACACATGCACTCATTCAAATATATTTTTAACATAATCTGATATATGTAATACGCCATGCTTTTCGGAGGCAATGTGCAAATTAGCGCCATTCACCAGCTCCGTATTGATATGCGGATTATGCAGCTCGGTGACGAGCGTGCTGCAGGCTGTGGAAGAATCGCCGGTGGACTTCAGCATTTTCTAAAATTGAAACGTATTTGAAATTATGCTTAAATAATAAAATATACACTACTCACCATCCAAAACTCGTTGCCTGGCAACGCATTGCCGTCCCAAGCATATGAGACGATAAGCAGCATATTCTCCAGCTCAGGTGATTTCTATAAAAAAAATATAGTAAATAGTATATATACATATTTCAATATTACAGCAATCATCAAATTTGTACATACATTTCTATAAAGAAATAATGATGTTAAAAAGCAGTGTAAATATATACATATATGTATATACATGTACTTGTGTGTTAGCAATCATCTCATGCATTAGAAAAATTAAGGTTAAAAACGAACGTCAACTACTTACAGCCGCCAACCCAAATGCTTCCGTGCAAATGCCCTCAACCAAGAGATAACGAAAAAAAATTGTGTTACCATATTTATGCTCACCAGCTTGTCTGCTGGATTGCGTTTTGACAAAAATGTACGTATACCGCCATCAGGATGTGTGGCCGATTTATAAATACCACCGTGCTTCAAATCGCCACATTCGCTCAGCTTAAACCAAGAGAAGTGCACCACACCCACATGCGTTAATTTGGGCAACAACAACTTCAAACGTTGCGCAAAGGTTTCCAGAAATACTTTCTCTTGTTGCTCGGCCGCGCGCCATACGCCCAAACCAATGCCAACCACATGTATATAAGCTTGCTTGCCTGCCGCCGCCGCACGTGCCTCGCTCTCCAGTAGCAGCGTATCAAAGGAGATCGTGTAACGTTTTTTCATCAGCACATTATCGAAGATGTTCTTTTGTGCACGCGCATTACCGAAACGTTTGCCATCAAGCGTCACCTGCTCATACAGATAATCACGCTCTTCATAGAACTGCTTCCATACGCGCCTGTAATCGGCTGGACGTGTATTTGTCTCCGCGTCGATAGGCAAACCGTAACCATTTTCTTTCGTGTTTTGTTTGCTGGTAATTATGATATCCTGGTATTCCATAACATCGCATCGCACAAGTCGTGCGCCAATGAGACCAATTATGACGCCATCCGTTTCAATGCGCGTTTTATTGCGTTCAATAACGCCACAATTCTGGCGATTGCCGTCATTGAGGAACTCCGTGTGTGAGGAAACTGAAAGAAATGCGGAGAGCTGTTTGGGAGTGTCTAGGTTACGTTTGTAGTATGCTTAGTAAAAGTATTCAGCACTTACCTTGATCTCATCATAGCAGAGCACGTCTACTAGCAGCAACGGTGGTTTCTCGCCATCCGTGCCAATATCCAAGAAGCCACTGCAGCCACGATGTCGTGATAATAAAAGATATTTATCATTTTTACCAAAGAAACTAACACAGCGCTTTGCCAGCAGGCGTTGCACAAAATCGGTGAGCGACAGCTTTTGGTATAGCTCAAGTTCGCGTTTATTTCCTGCAATTTTTCGTATTTTTTAGGTATTGGCACAAGTAATTATTGCTTTTTAATTTAAAAAGTAATTTTAAACACCAAATTCTGAAAAATTTATACGAATTATAATCACAATTGCTAAAAGCAACAATAGTTTTTTTTTCTGCTTTTGCACTTTTTTTCGTTTTTCTCTTGCATATGCATTAGCTATGAAAAGACGAACTACAATAAATCACTTGGTTGAAAAGGAGGGCTAAATACCGGCGTATGCGTATATGTTTGCTTAAAAAATTAATAAAAGAATTTACTTATATATATACATATATATATATAAAACAATAAAAATTAAAAAAAAAAAAATTAATTAAATAAAAGTTAATAAAAGACAGTAAAAATTTTTTAACTATAACCACCATAACTTCTATTAATCTGCAGCGTTTGATCACTACATAACTGCGTTTATATATTTTACATTGCATTGCGAAATGTTAATCAAGAGTTATGTGTATGTTACCGGCATAATTAGTATATATGTATGTACGCATTCAAAAATAAAAAATACGTTTTTTATCTACAAGCACTCAAACTTCGTTTAATCAGCAGCGTTTGATCACTATATAACTGCGCTTATATACATATTTTACATTGTATTGCGAAATATCAATTTATTATTAAATCTGGCATATTTACATACCATATTTGCATTTGTGTTCCAAGAATGCTAGATACAAGCCCAAAACTCGTTCATGTATTATTGGATAGGCAGAAGCGATTTGCTTCACGATTTCTGGATGACGCTCTTTTGGTTGACTTATTACACGACAGGTATTGGTTCCGAACTTGGAGGGAGTCGGAATAATAATTTTAAATAATTATAGCTGTTTCTATGTTGCAAATGCATATGTACCTCTACTGGAAAGTTAGACGACTTCTTGATGAAGCTTTTAACATCAATATGGCTCACATCCGGCTTTTCAACCTTTAAACACTTTTGCAATAATTTTGTACCAAACTCTGTGAATTTTATTGTTGAACCTGGCTTAGGCCAAACCTCCTCAAAATCTGCACCGAAACTTGACATATTTGCTTGATAATTTATAGACGGCTTTTTGTGTGTAAATGTATGTTGCCTTGTTGTGTTTCTTAAATGACGTCGAATGCTTAGATATGTATTAAATTTTTTTAACAGCAATATAAGTTTATGCGTCAATGTGTGGTTTGTATAGGCTAAACGTGTTTTTTAACTTACTATGTAAACGTTCGCAGTCCAATTGAGCATTGTCCACTCATGCGTCGGAATTTATTACCCGGCGTTGCAATGAACTTCAGAGAATTTAATATTTCACAATGTGAATTGACCCATACATTTTCACTTTCATTTTTGTTTTTGTTTTACACTGCAGATTGAATTTGCTAATTTGTTTTGTTCTTTGCTTTGGTTGCGCAGTTAATATATAGTATACATATAATTATATATAAATCTACGTACTCTGGAGGGAAACGGAAAGTGGGTCAGAAACGCAATTTTTACCTGTCTATATGCAATTTGTAAACGAAAACTGACTGATGAAATCCAATTGGGAAAAGCAACAAAGAGACGAAACAGCTGATCTGCCGCGTTGCCAACTATTGTTGTTTGCAGTAGAATATTGAACATTTTATAAATAATTTCCGGTTACTAGCTTTTTGAACGTATTGCAAAACATTTCTGTTAAATTAATTATTTACTGAAACAACAACAAATTCTTTACACATTTAGTGAGCGGAAATAACTATAGTTTTTTTATTTTTATAAAACTATATTGATTTCGTAAAAGTTTGCTATTATGCTCACTTATATAAAAATATATTTTAACAAGGCTTAAATTGTTGTAAAACTTTCTTTGCATAATCTGCAATATGCAAGACGCCATATCGAGGAGATGCAATGTGCAAATTGTTGCCGTTTACCATTTCTGTGTTAATGTGTGGATTGTGCAGTTCAGAAATGAGAGTACTGCACGCAGCGGCAGGATCCCCCGAAGAAGCTAAGGCACCCTACGATAAATAATTTGCATATACAATATAATTAAAAGAAAATACTGCTAAAGTATGCGCATTAAAGCTTTTTCGCTTACCAGCCAAAAATCGTTGCCGGGTAATGCATTGCCAGCCCAAGCATATGACTCCACCACCAACATATTTTCAAACTCCGGTGGCTATTTCACAACAATATAGAAATATATGTATATACATACTCAATGAATATATGTATGAAATTATAAGGGCTTACCAGCTTTTCCGAGGGATTGCGATTGCTCATAAATATTTTAATACCTCCTTCTGGGTGCGTTTCCGACATCAACAAATCGCCATCCTGCAGATTTGACCAAGCGGATAAAACGAAATAGGAGAAGTGCACTACAGAAATGTGCGACAAATGCGGCAATAGCTGTTGCAAACGTTCGCTAAAAGTCTCTAAAAATATTTTTTCTTGCTGCGGTACCGCTCTCCACGAACCCAAACCTATGCCCACCACATGTATATATATTTGTTTATTAAGGTAAGCACCGCGTGATTCTGCTTCTAATAATAATGTATCGAAGGCGATAGCATAGCGTTTTTTCATCATTAAATTATCAAAAATGTAATTGGCATGTGGTCCTTTGAAAAAACGCTTTGAGTGCTGTGCGTTAACCTTCTCGTATAATAAATCCGCTTCTTCATAAAAATCTATCCAAATTCGACGATAATCTACACTACGTTTATTAGCCAGCGCTGCCTCCTGCGCTGTGAAACCATAGCCATTCTCCTTTGTATTCTGTGTGGCAGTTATCATTATATCTTGCCACTCCATGGTCTCTTTAACTTGGAAGCGTCCACCAATCATGCCGATTACAATACCCTCTGTCTCGATTTTCGATTTGTCAACCTCAACTACGCCTTCATTATAACGATTGCCATCATTTATGAATTCAGTTTGTGAAGAAATTGAGAGAAAAGCGGAGAGCTGTAAAAACATAATGCAAGCATCATCAATACATACATATCTATATAGACACTTCTACATTTCATTGGTTTTTTGTTTTACCTTAATTTCATCATAACTCAAAACATTTTTCAACTGCAGCGGTGCTTTTTCATCGTCAGTGCCAACTTCACAAAAACCACCATAACTTTTTTCGCCTGTCATGAGCAGATATTTATCTATACAACCATAAAATGCAGCACAACGTTTAACCAAAAGCCTTTGTACAAGTGCAGTGAGTGTAATGTCCGCATAAATCTCGCGTTCTATATCGTTACCTGCCAACAATAATAAATTTTGTTTATTTTTATAATTGGAAATATTAAATTATTTACCATATTTGCTTTTATGCTCTAAAAATGCTAAATACAAGTAGAGTACCCTTTCATGTATCAAAGGATACGCAGATGCAATTTGCTTTGTGATTGCTGAATGGCGTTGCACGGGCTGACTCATTACACGACATGTGTTGGTGCCAAACTTTGTTGTAAAAGAAAATATTATATTAAATATACACGCAGTATCTGTTGTAAATAAAACGCACTTGTAAAGGAAAGCTGTCCGACTGCGCCATAAAGCTTTCAATACTTATTTTTCCGTCATCTGGTTTATTGACATTTGTACACCTTTGCAGCAATTGCAGACCAAACGTAGTTAATTTTATCGCTGGATTGTTATGTGGCCATATTACATTATAATCTACACTCAGCACTGGCGCTGTGCTATCACTGGTAGGCATTAGGTGAGAAAATAGCGTTCGAATATTTGCCCACATTATACGGCTTGTTAAACGACTAGCGTATGCACACGTCGAGATATAAATGTTAAATGTTTAGTTCTGGTATTGCTTTGTATTAGCTGCTATAGCTAATTGCATCATTACTCAGCGGGGAAAACCTGAAAGAGCTGTCAGCTTCTTTAGATACACGTACACTTGTAATTTATAAATTGTCGTTTGATTATGAGTGTATGAAAACTGAGTACATGTATGTATATATGTATGTATACAATCAGTCTAGAAACTTTAATAAAAAAAAGTTTCCAAACACTAATTAAAAGCATAAATAATAAAATCAATAAGATTTTCTATTATTCTTCTATTTAAAATCTGATTATGTGAAATTACTGTGGAATAAATGTAATTATAATTGAGTTGTCTACCAGTTGGAATGTAAAACAATGCAAAATGGGTTGATACGAACCAGCTGTGTTGATATGCGTTGCCAACTAATGGCCGGAAATAATTTTTTACAACAATTTTGTACATATTTTCCGGTTCCACACAAAAATTTAAAATTTTATGTTATATATTTAGTTCACTCAGTGGCACAACATTTACTGTAACCCACACGGCAAAATACCTAGAAGTTGAAATCGATACGAAACTGAACTGGAAAATTAATAAAAAGAAAAGCGTTTATGGACGATTACACCTGCATAGGAATACTTAGCAGGAATTGCCAATAGACTAATTCCAACTTATGAAGCACGGGTTAGGTGGCCAGCGTTAAAGAAACAATATAACATCAGAAATTTAAATGAAATACAAACAGCAGCCTGTGCAGGGGTTACCGTGGCTATTAACGCATGTCCGACTGAAGTGTTTAATATGGTATGCTCCCGCATCAAGTGCCCATAGATATAGTACAATATATACTCAGAAAGTAGCAGCAAGTTCTGCTATTAGAATTAAGGAATTAGGAGGTTGGAGCCGGAAAGATTACGGACATAGCGCCATCCTAAACCAGCTAAACATAAGCAAATCAGACTATATTCTCATAAGGTTAGATTTCAATAGACATTTTCGGGTGATTATTTACTCTAGACGTGAGTGTAGGAGAGGTTTTGGGAGAGGGAGAAGGAGAAGGATACTACCTCTATCTATACCGACGGGTTCAAAATGTTTGCGGAGTAGGGGCGGGGTATACTCCAATGATCTTGACATCTCCATTTATATCCGCCTACCAAACTCAGCCAGCATCTTTCAAGCGGAAGTACTAGGTATAGAGAAGCCCTGTGAAGTTCTATTGAATAACTACGGGAGGAAACAGAGAGCAACCATATACACGGACAGCCAGGCGGCATTGCTTGCCCTGTGGACACCACAGATCAATTCCGACTTAGTCAAGGAATACAGGCAGGTTTTGAGCTTACTGACATGTCAACTTCACGTGCCCACAAATTGGGTTCCCGGCCACAGGAACATTTTCGGCAACGAAAAGTATGACGAGTTGACAAAACTAGGAGTCTTTCTAGACGAATACGAGTAGTACTCAATACCATGCCTACTGGGAACGATCAAAAGCGAGTTCTATATGCATTTTGAACAAATAGCTCAGAGCAGATGGAGCTCAATAACAAGGTACCTACCATACTAACTATTATGTACCCTTGGATAGATTTTAACTGCTTTGTAAAAAAACAATTACAAAACTGGGTGCTGTTTTACACGAATTAACCCTAACTTGCCTTAAAGACAAAGAATAAAACAACAACAACTACAATAACAACAAATTTCGCCACCAAGCGCCAGCACGAAGTAAAAAATGTGTAATAGCAGCACAAACAATAAGTAGCAGCGGCAGCGATGTCGACCGCAGCGGCAACAGCGGAAATCAACAGTTGTGTGGCTGTCGGAACTGCGTTCGTCGTATGACTTTTGTGCTTCGGCATTGTTTTGCGTTTGGTGGCAAACGAACAAATTGCTGTGCAATGTTGTTGTTGTTTTTGTAATTTGCTCTGCAGGTGTGTGTATAACAGCCACTTTTTTGTTCTTGTCGAACAACGGCACGAAGTCAAGTGAAAGCGAAATCAGTGATGAAGCTACTACAGCAAGTCCTAACAGATGTTGTTGTTGCTGTTATATTGTTTTTACGTTAAAGGCGCAAAATTGTTGGTATGGGTCACGTACAATATGGCGCCGACGACATTAAAATGGACGAGCATGACTATGCCACACAACTTTTGTAAACAAAGCGTATTGGAAGTACTCTTTTTGGATTACTTTTCGCCTTTTGCGGTGTGCGTTTTACTACAAAGAACACACCCCCAAAATATAAGAAAAACAACAACAATATGGAATAGCGAAAATCATGGCTCGTGTGTAAGCAATATTTACGTAGAGTAAAATCACGCATATGAATGTGTATGTTTGGGTGCGTGTGTGTTTGCATGTGCTGCGCAGCTTCGCGGCCTTCAACTGTAACTATCAGCCATCAGCACTGCTGACTGTCACCAATGACTGTAGTGAGTTAGTACACTTTTGAAATCCATAGGGATGCATTCGCACTTTTCGCACAAAAATCTAAGATTTTTCTAATGAAAGACATTTTATAAGAGAAAAAATAAATAAAAAGTTTTAATATCGTATTTGCTGGCGCAAAACTCATAGCAAATATTATTAAAAAGGCAAGTGAGTGCGTATTTTTTGATTAAATTTTCTCTTTTCCATTAAAGTGTTGGCAATCAACAAGTAAAACTGTTGACTATTTTCAGCTCCTTAAATGCTTACATCAAACGTTTTCATTGCTTGCATTTAAGTTTAAGCCATTGCTTGTTTGTATTATCATATGTATGTTTGTGTGTGTGTGTGTGTGTGTGTGTGTATGTGTATGCAGGTTAAGAGCAATTTACGGGATACGCATAATTTAACATTTACCATAGATGATGGATACAAGCCAACTTCTCAAAGCTTATGAAGCATGCATGGATGTGTGCATGTGTGATTTAGATAATACAAACATATTGACACAAAATGAATATCATACAAGTATATAACAAGAAACAACGAAATTTTAATGTTTGAAATTCCAAAAATTTATTATATAAATAATTATTAGATATTAAATAAAGGTGAAATTGTAAATTGAATAATATCTAGACATTTAAGTACATTAATATCAGTCAGTTAATATTAAAAAAAATCAAAAAACGTTAATTTTGGTTACACCATAGCTATAGGTTGGTTAAAAAGTTTCTGCGCTCACCAAGAAATAGCACTACTAGCTCCAAAAATTTGTTTTCTCAAGTTGGTACATCTGTCGTGAGAACACAGGCAAAGTTACAAGCCGTTCTGTCATTGTATTATTTGTTTACAGGCCATTTGAAGTTGACGTGTCAGAGTATTTGTTTAATATGGAAAAAATAGAATATACCGCAGTAATTAGATTTTTTATTTTGAAAGGTTTAAAAACGAAGAAAATTTATGAACAATTGTCAGAAGTGTATAAGGTGTGTGTATAAACGTGGTCGTACTAGGCTTGAAGACGATCCACGCGAAGGACAACCAAAAACCGCAACCACAACAGAAATCATTCAGCAAGTTCATAATATTGTTAGTGAAGATACAATTTTGACTAAGCGTGAAATCGCTAATACTATAGGCATCTCAGACGAACGAGTACTTCATATTTTATATGGAGAATTACATATGAAAAAGCTGTTTGGAAAGTTAGTGCCGCACACGTTAACAAATCAACAAAAACTGTATAGAAAACAAATTTCTCAGCATAATTAGGAGCGTTTTAAGCAGAATAAAACCGATTTCTTGCGTAGGTTTATAACGGTGGATGCGACTTGGAGCTACCACCATTATCCTAAATTGAAATAAGAATGTTTACAGTGAACTGAAGCTGGTTGTTCAGCTCCAAAGCAGGTGAAGTCACAACGATCAGCAAAGAAGGTTATGTCAACAGTTTTTTGGGATGCAAAAGGAATTTCGTTGATTAATTATCTGCAGAAATGTATAACAATCAACTCTGAATATTATTGCAGCCTTTTGCATCAGCTGGATGAAAAAAATTCGTGAGAAAAGACTTGGTTTGCGGCACAAAAAAGTAATTTTTCATCAGGACTATGCACCTGCTCACAAAAGTATTTAACAATGACAAAATTCAACGAATTAAGGTACGATTTGCTCGAGCATTCACCGTATTCACCAGATGTGGCTCCCAGCGACTGCTGTCTCTACAGAAACCTAAAAAATTCCTTCGTGGTAAGCATTTTTTGTCGAATGAAGAAGCTATTGCGTCATCGCAGAGCTCCCGTAAAGTCGTTATAGGGATGGCATTAAATTATTGTTGGATCATTGGAATAAGTGTATTGAAGTTAAGGGAGATTATATTGAATAAAAAAATATATATTTCGTATCACAAACAGTATGCATTTTTTTCATTTTGAGCGCATAAACTTTTCAACTAACCTATATAATACACTTCACAAATACAAAAGATTTCGTACAAGAACTTTGATCGGTCAGTTTGTATGACCCGTGCCAAATTTCGTGAAGATATCTCGGCAAATGACAAAGCTTTCTATATAAGCCTTAGATAATCATTCGTGCCAAATTGCATGAAAATACCTCGTCAAATGGAAAAGCTTTCCATACAAGGATATGATTTTCAACGATCAGTTTGTATGGCAGCTATATGCTATAGTTTTCCGATGTCGAGAGTTTCGATAAACGAGCAGCATCTTGCGGAGAAAAGAAAGTATGCAAAATTTCAGTTTGATATCTCAAAAACTGAGAGACCAGTTGGCGTATATACAGACAGACGGACATGTTTAAATGGACTCAGCTCGTATATATTTTATAGAGACTCCGACGTTTTCTTCTAGGTGTTAAAGCAAAAAATATTAACAAGTTAAAAATCAGTTAAGTTTAATAAAACTTTACTTAATAACTTCATTATTATTAAATTATCATTCATCTAATATAATTTTTATTTTGTAAAATTTTATTTTTTCTTAAAAAAAATAATTTTGATTAAAAAAATTATGGCGAAATGAATAATTTAAACGCGCATTTTAAAGCGTAAAGTTTTCAAAAATTTTGGTAAATATTTAAAAAGTTTAATATTTGTAACAAAAAATTGAAAAGTTTAAAATTTTTAACAAAATTGAAAACTTAAAAATTAAAAATTGGCACTAAATAAAGGTTAGCCATAGTAATATTAAATATATTTTTTATAAAATTTAAAACTTTCTGCCATTCAAGACATTTGCCTTGCTTCTGATGTGCAAGTGTGCTTCATTCTGTCACTTTTAACACTTCCAGAAAATTACTAATCGTGTTTAATGTCGCTTATTTGAAGTATTTTTGTATTAAAGTGAAAATGAATACATATGCATTTTATACAAACATACATTTGTGAACCACGCACCGTTCCTCAATATTTCTTTAAAAACTACACGACTATATAAGGGATAAGCACACTCAAACAGCTTTATTTGAACACTTCCACTTATGCAATTTTTTTAAATATATGTATGTATACGCATGTGTATTTGAGTACGTATGTTTTTTCATTTATGTTTTGATGTTCTCCAGTGGCCATTAGTTATATGGCATATCAGTTACAACGGTGCTTGAGAACTCTAAAATCACGAAAAATCGAAAAAATTACTTCTAGGCTACAACATATATATATGCTATATTTTACATAGAAGTAAGAGTATATACATACATATATACATATATATGTATATTTTTTCAATATTCAAGCCCTTTCAAATATGCTTGAAAGTCATGCAAATGTAAACACCAACAAGTAGTAGCCACTCACCGAGTACAGCCGACTTTTTTTTAGTGATTTCTACTTTTGTATGCATCAGCAGCAATTGGGCAGGGCAGCACTTGACACTCAATTAATTTTGTTGGTATTTTGATGTTTGAGCTACTCAGCACTTCATTTCATTACTTTAATTTCACTTGCATATTTTAACTTGGTTGTTATACTAGTTTTGTTGTTATTGTTGTTGTTGTCGATTTTACTGTTTCGTAGCAGTAACCAACAGTAGTGACTTATGTGTGTAAGCGCAAATGATAAAGTGGCAGCAACTTAATGAATTGGAAAAAAGTTTTAGTGCGTGACATGGCGTATACGTAACATTTTGTGCACACAAGTAAGAAGTTTTGAAAGTTGTAGTTTTTTCAACTTTTTTATTTTAATGCTATACTCATCAGCTGCCTAGTATAGCGTGTAAAAGGCATACTTCAGCTTTCCTTCGATTTTGCAATCGAATTAATGCCGATAAAGGGCACTTCTCGCCCCTCAATTGCGAGAATTCGCCGCATAAATTGCACACATTATGCATTTGATTGATGGTTTTAGTAGAGTAGAGTATGTCAGGAGCAGCATGCACTCACATAACAAAGCGTATATGCTGTTAGAGTATAGGCAGACTCATTTATATGTATTCACACATACACATATATCTACAATATCTATAATTGTATCTGCACATGTGTTTCTATGGTTATGCATTTTTGTTGTTGTTCTAGAATATATGTGCAAAATTGTCGACAGTGAACTTCTGCTCTCAGTTGGCATGTGTATATAAATATTTCCATTGGTGTTGTACGTTTGCATGTACTTTAAGGATGTGTGTATTCACATAGATGCTTTTGGTGTGTGCATATAAATATTCATACATACATGCACACAAATAGCTTCACATTTGTTAACTTGCACCAACCCCAACTCTTCGTATCATCAATTGCTCCTTTATAGAAATTTGAATTTAATTAAGCTGAAAATTGTGTACGGAAAAATTGAATTTTCTTGAAATAAATAGAATGAAAAATTATAAAAAAAAATAAAAAGAAAACACGTTAACTTCGTTTGCACAGCAGCTGTAATACCTTTCACAAATAAAAAAGTTTTCCATATAAGGACATGATTTTCAACGTTCAGTTTGTATGGCAGCTATATGCTATTGTGATACGATCTGAACAATTTATTCGGAAATTATAGCGCTGCTTTAGAAAACAATCCATGCTAAATTTTGTGAAGAAATCTTATCAAATAAAAAAGTTTACCATATAAGGACATGCTTTTTAACGATCAGTGTGTATGGCAGCTATATGCTATAGTGAACCGATTTGAACAATTTATTCGGAAATTGTAGCGCTGTTTTAGAAAACAATCCATGCTAAATTTTGTGAAGATATCTTATCAAATAAAAAAGTTTTCCATATAAAGACATGATTTTTAACGATCAGTTTGTATATGCTATTGTCGTCCGATATCGGCAATGCCAACAAATGAGCTGCTTCATAAGAAGACAACTAAATTTTAAATCGATATCTCAAAAACTGAAGGACTAGTTCGCGTATATAGACAGACAGTCATAGCTAATCAGCTTAGCTGATTATTTATATATATTTTTTATAGGGTCTACGACGTTTTCTTCTGTGGGTTACAAACTTCGTGGCAAACTTAATATGCCTTATACAGGGCTAATTTTTAGTAATAAAAAATTTATTTAAAAAGTTTATTAAATTAAATTAAATATTTTTTTGTATTTATACAATTTTACTGTGAGTGTTTCTGTTCAAATTAATTATTTCTTAAAATAATTTAAAAAAATTATTTTACTTTTCATATTTTACGTTTTAGAAAAATATAAATTTAATAAAAATAATAAATTATTTAATCAAACAAACGTTCCCAGCTAAAACTATTAAAATATATTATAGGCATTTTTTCTCTTTTGTTTGGTTATATCTTATTTACTTATTTATTTATTTTTTTAAATTAAAAAAAAAAATATTTCACTTGTTAAAATTTTAGTCACTATTTTTCATATTTATACCATGAACAGGATATATGAAGTTTGCCACGATATTGGTAACACCCAAAAGGAAGCGAAAAGATTCTATAAAGTATATATTTACACATATAAATGATCAGCATGACGAGTTGAGTCGATTTAGCCATATCCGTCTGTATATACGCGAACTAGTCTCTTCGTTTTTGAGGCATCGCTTTGAAATTTTGCACACGTCCTTTACTCACCAAGAAGCTGTTCATCTGTCGGAATCGCCGATATCGAACAACTATAGCATATAGCTGCCATACAAACTGATTGATCAAAATCATGTCTTTGTGTGAAAAACTTTTTAATTTGACGAGGTATCTTAAAGAAATTTAGTAGAGTTTATTTTCCAAGGCTAAAGCTACGAAAAAATTGTTCAGAACGGGCAACTATAGCATACAGCTGCCACACAAACTGAACGCTCGGAATAAAGTCACTATATGGAAATATTTTGTATTTGACAAGATATCTTTACGAAATTTGGCATAGATTATTACCCAAGGCATCGCTGCAATCTCCAAAAGAAATTGTTCTGTTCGTACCACTATAGCTTGTAGCTGCCATCAATTCAAAATGCTTAAAATATAATAATGCGCATTTTTTTTTTTATTTCTTAGCTATTTACTTTTTGTTATTTTGTCTTATTTTTTTTATAATTTTGTCTTATGTTTTTTTATAAATTTTTTATATATATTTTGAAAAATTTTCTTTTATACATTTTTTTTTCTTTAAAAAGTTTTTTTTTTTAATTTTTAAATATTTTTTTGTTGCATTACCTTATTTATGGTGTTTTTTTACACATTTGTATGTATACATAGCTTTGTGTATACATACAAATGCATATGTACATATGTATCTCGATTTAGTCGCCGCATTGTCTGCGACTTTTAATTGCTTAATGTGTCAGTTTGTAAATTGAATATTTTATTGCGACAATTTTACTTAAATACCATCACCCACTACAACAGCAGCTGGAGGCAGACGATTATTAACGCATATTGTCACATATAATGCATGTGCATCTAGTATGTATAGTTGTTGATAAAAAATATATATAATACATAAGATATATACATACATATATAAGCGTTAATTTAAAAGTATTGAATAAACGTATACACATACATACATAGCTTATATTAATCTGTATATTTATAAAGAATATTTTGGTGTTCAATTATTGATTGTCGTATACATACATATACATGTACCGTAAAAATATTTTTGTTATACTTTTTTTGTGCATACAAACTTTCATGTATACCGTATATTTGTGTGTGCACAAAAAGTATTTTCCGTATTTTTTTCAATAATACTCAAACATATGTAGGTACGTAAATTTTGTACATACATATTTATGTATTTAGATACTATGCATATCTAATAAATAGTAATTAATACAAATTCACCAGTCGCTATTTATATAACTCAATTTAATTGCAAATAATTACGCGAATAATCCCAACGACAATAAAGTGTTTAATACAACAAATAAGCGCTAACGATATATGCACGTACATACATACATACATATTTATAACGCGCATCGTCAACTCTACTGGCACATGTATACATACATATGTATGTATGCACGTAATTGCTATTAATTCACACATTTAATTCACTTTCGATTGCAGTTCTTATTTGCCGACACACAGTACCACAGCGCCTTCGCGTGCGCCGCCACAATCAACCGCCTCCAACGTCTTGCACATAGAGCGACCAATTGTTCCGTTAAGCATTATGGAATACAAATTGATAACTGAGGACCGTTTCGACGATGTCGTTCGACATTTATGTGACAATTTCTTCGCCGATGAGCCGCTGAATAAGGCGGCGGGTCTATGTCGACGCGGGGAGGGTCATCGAGAATTGGAGCAACTTTGCTATGAGACACTTAAGGATAATTTGAGTTTAATGGCTGTGAACGAGAATAACGATGTGAGTGAAAGAGCTAGTAAAGTGCAAAGCTATAAGAAAAAACAAATTTTTTAATTAATAAAAATTTTTTTTTTTTTAAATAAATAAATGAAATAAAAAAGTAAAAAAAAAAAAAAAATTAAACAAAATAAAAAAACACAATATTAAAAAAAAATTAATTAAAAAATAAAACACAAAATAAAAAAAAAAATTTATTATAAAAAAAAATAAAAAATTAATTAATAAAGTAAAAAAAAAATTTAAAAAAAAATGGAATAATTAAAAACATTGATGATGAAAAATAAAATAATAATACAAATATTAAGAATTTAGCATAAACAATAATATACTCTCTATATTGTTAGATCGCTGGTGTCCTGCTTAACGGTGTTGTCTATCCGCAAGATATCGTGCAGGCCCACGAGCGTATCGAGCTCAGTGATGATGAGCGCTATAAGAAAATATTTCGTTTATTAAATGAACATAATCTGCGTGCCAATGTATTTGGCAATTTCAGTGTGGAACGCGCCTTTGAGGTGCGTATGCTTTCGGTGGATGGACGCTTTCGTGGACAGGGTATTGCCAAAGAGCTGGTGCGGCGCAGCGAAACAATTGCAAGAGATTTTGATTTTAAGGCAAGTGAAAATGGCAATTTTTATTTTTTTTTAATATTATTATGGAATATTTTTTATATAATAATTTTGAATATTAAAAAAAAAATTATTAAAAAATGTATTGTCTACTTCTCATAAAAATAAATGTCTTTGCAGCTCATGAAAGCCGATGCAACAGGAATTTTCTCACAAAAAATTCTGAAGTCAAACGGTTTCAAAGTATTGAGCGAATTCTACTATGAGAAGTATACAGATGAATTTGGTAAGCCAATATTGCTGGTGGAGGCACCGCACATTAAATTGCAGCTGCTATACAAACTGTTGGAATAAGTTGGATACACATATGTACAGGTATGAAAAAAATTAAATGAGTTTAAAGTGAAACAAATTTAATAAAAAAATAATACAGAAAAAAAACATTAAAAACTAAATTTTCTAAAATCAACATTCTTAGGAGACGTTTTTAGTGATTTTTCACGCCACGACAAAAAATAAACTAAATCGACGGTATTGTAAAGAAGTAAAACACAAAAATGTGTTGCCAAAAGAATATATAGCCGTAATGTATAGTTATAAAATATGTACCAAAAGTTATAGTAAAAACACTACAACAATCGCAGTTATTTATGCTAATAGACCGCATTAAAATAAGTTTAAATTAATAGCACAGACAATTATTTATAAGAAATGCATTTTTATTGCCATAATCGCATATTTATTAGTATATAAATTATTTATTAACCAACTTTAGCGCAAAAGCCAAGCATTTAGGCTATAATTAAATATAGTTTCAAAAAAATACAAACAGATATACATACATACATACATTTTATATATATATTTAATAAAATAATATACGAAAAAAATTATTTTCTACAGTTTTTATAAAATAAATACATACGCACTGGTTAAATGTTGCAATAAATACTTTATAATCGCGATAATAAGAGAATTTTGTAAGCGCGAAGTTTCTACTTTTCTAGCTGGAAGTACGGATGTACTAATTTAAAGTTTAAAATTATACTTATAAATGTTAAAGAAATACAAATATATGTTGACATATATATATATATGTATATATGTAAGTGCATGAGATTTCGTACAAATGCGTAGGTACAATTGTGTGCAGCGTGCAGACTGCAAATATTATATAAATAATAACTGTTACAATAAATAGTGTATTATGAATATAACAAATATTAAATACAGCTTAAAAGTACTTCAAATAATTGGTAACAGAGAAATTTTGAATTTTGAAAAATTCGTTGCTATGCAGAACAACATACATTGTATTAAAAAATAAATAAAAAATTATCCAATTTGTAAAAAAAATTATATATACAATGCGTGTTTACTTAAGAATTTTGGAATTTTGCATATTTTTTGGCACAGTCAAAATATTTTTTAGTTTTTTATTTATAGGTTCAACAATTGCTATTTTATAATGTAGCTTTAAAATTCCCTAACGTTTTTTAATTTTTTTTTTGTTGTATCGATTATTGTAAATGCTTTAAAACTAGCAACTCTTCATACTTCTTTTTTTATAACTACAATATATTAAGGTGCATATTGTTCCCCAAGTTGATTTTTTTTGCAAACGCCCCTTGAAGCATTGAAGTATTCATATAAGTGATTTATACGTTCGGTGTTGCTCATACGACCTGGTGTACTATATGAAAGCAGTATATTTGTTGCACAACTTTAACTGCTTTTAAAGGAATGTTTTTATACAAAAAAAAATCACCAAGACCTGTTTTAGTTTATTTGTTTTATATGACAATGTATTGCAAAGATCAAAAAACCACATATAAAATACATGGTAAAAAGTAAAATAAGTTAGGTCCGCTTTAAATTGAAAGCAAAGAGCTTCTTTGACGTTCAATCTTTTATTTTAGGACAAAAACTGAGCCTTCAGTTTCAGAAAAAGCAACTGGGGAAATACGCGACACCCTAATGTTAATGTATATTTTGTTTACTTTTATTCACAATTCTTTATACTGTATTGCCCTTTAACACATTAATTTTTAGACTTTATAGACTAACTAGACACACGCACATACTTGGTTTCAGCAATTATACATTATTTGCACTTATTTTTTATCACAATATTTAGCTCGCTACCATTGACAAATACAATTTACGCTTTCTGTAAAACTGAAGTTGAAAGTGTTTTTGGTAAGCTTCTAGTACTTGAGCATGAGGATAGATGAATTCTTGTTTTGCTAGTTTTAGTTTCAAATGAGAAAAGCCAAGAAGGGGACGCACAAGCAGACGCAACAAACAATAGAACTAGCGATTAAAGACTGGCAACAAAAATGCTTTTGTTAAGCCGGTAAAAAAAAAAATGCGTTGGCTTAAACATTGTAAATACTGTAACAAGTAATCGTACCGATTAATTTTTTCATATCAAACTCTAAGCATTATAACAGGTCTTTAAAGGTAATACGTCCCCCTGTATACATAAGATAGCAAAACAGGAAACTAATTCTATCATCTTTTAGTGTTAATACGATTGTCTTCAATTCCGATAAATCAGTATGACATCTTCATCTGTTCCATAGGCTTTCCGCGATATATCCATTGCAGCTGCTGTGCAGCGACAGACGTCTTAAAGATACAAAACAAGCTATTTACATACTGCTTTAAATTTTAAATAAGTACACACTTACGTTCGTCCTGCACTTCCGGGTTGTGATAGAAAATCAGCTGAGATTTCAAATCGTAGCCACAAAGCACAATATAGTGGCCTGCATAACTTTGGGGTGTGCGTGTATTGTTAACGATACAAGAGAGTTGGAAACAACTTCAAATAAGTGATAAGAAGAAATAAATACATTCAAATTTTGTGCAAACTAAACAAACGTTAAGCATTAATGGGTGCAAAGTAAAAAAATAGCTACAAATTAAATATGTACATACATATATACATATATACCGGTATAAAAAATTGCTCCACTTACCCGAATTTCTCTAATACATTCTTTTTACAAATTTCACACGTCAGTAATGACGCGTTGGTTAACAATATCACAGGCCCTCGTTTTCCTAAATGCTGTAACAGCTCTTCCATTTCTATTGTACGCTGCTCGACTCGTACGCCATGTAGACGCGCTTCTTGAAACTTGCGCGTAACACGTTTTTCGTCCTTATTGATGATTTTCGTATAGTAACTATGTTCACTGTAGCTTGGATCGATACCCAACGTTTTGGTGTAGTATTCGTGACGCACTTGGAAGCGTTTTAGCAGGAAGCACAAATCTATTGTCCATGTGCTGGAACCAAAGCCTTCCTCCGCACAAATCTTATCGAAATCGTGTAATAGTACTTCACGTTGCGATGTCGACAGAATCATGATGATGCAGGAAATGCCGCAATCCCAATTGAATCGTTGTTGATAGTGTGTTAGGTTGTAGTGTTTCTGATCGGGAATGGCTAAAATACAACAGCAAATGATGAATTTACTGTTATTATGAGATTAATGTAGCTATTTACCCTCCATATTAACGTGGAATTTTGGAAAAGTGGTGCCGAAATAATTGAGGATTTGTTTTAACTAACCTTTTCTGCTACTCTTACGGATTTTTTATGCTACTGTCACTCAGTTATTTTACATAGCAGAACAAATGTTGGCAACCCGCAGTTGTGCGCTGACAGCGAAAGCAGCTGATTGAGATTGTTTTATAAAACGAGCTTATAATTGCCGGGTGCAAAATTGAGTTTTAATAAAAATGCAAAAGAAGCGAGTTCGCGTGAATAATATATTGGATAAATTGCATCGCGGTGTAGTATATACCTGTATCGGTGTCACACTATATGGAACATTCCTACTAGGGATGCGAGTGCATCGATACCTGACGGTTGTACGGCCCCAGCGGCAGGCGGAGCAGCTAAAAATGATTGAGGAGGAAGGAGTTGATAAAGCTAAAACCATAACAACATAGAATTATTTTTAAATAAGTTCATAAAATGCTAATAGTTGTATTTGTTAAATAAATGTTGTAAAAAATCATCCCAATCGCAAACACCATTTCTTTACGGCAAATATAGTGCAGGCACATATTGACCAACAATGTATTCGGGTTTTAGATGATGTAATAACTCGGTTACTTTTAAATATTTATTCAAATTACTATAAATTAGTAAATACTCCTTCATCAGACAAATACATATCTTTTATATATCAGTAAAACATTGTGAAAAGGTAGTATTGTGTTTAAATAATTTTAAATACTCATAAATAATAGATACGAATAAACACTACATAATGTAATAGATTAGGTCGACTGTCGGCATGCATTCAGCAGAAATTTGACGATTCTATGTTTCTTTTGTGCCTGACATTCACAGTTTGACATTTGCCGTTTGCTGCTCGATTCGTTCAGAAGAGTTTTTTTCGTTGCTTTTCTCTTTTTACTTTCTTTCGCATTTCATTGACGAATAAATTGCCATCGTTGCGAAAATGTCGGGCTTAAATTTAACCGTACGCGTGCATCCTGTGGTGCTTTTCCAAGTTGTGGATGCTTACGAGCGCCGCAATGCAGACTCACATCGTGTTATTGGCACTTTACTTGGTACGTTCTATAAAAATAAGCGAAAATGATTGAAGTAACCACGTTTGGCTGGGACGTCTTCACTCTCACTGCATTTACAGGTTCCGTCGATAAGGGCGTCGTTGAGGTCACAAATTGCTTCTGTGTGCCACATAAGGAACACGATGATCAAGTAGAGGCTGAGCTAAGTTATGCATTGGATTTGTATGATCTAAATCGCAAAGTTAACCCCAATGAAAATGTTGTCGGTACGTATTGATAACCCTAACCTCACTTTCGTAGTTGCTACAGAGTTGATGCTGACGTTTTCTTTATTCCTTTATTACACAGGTTGGTGGGCAACTGGCAACGATGTCACTAACCACAGCTCAGTAATACACGAATATTATGCGCGCGAGTGTAACAATCCCGTTCATTTGACTGTCGATACATCATTACAAGGTGGTCGTATGGGTTTGCGTGCTTATGTTTGTATACAACTGGGTGTGCCCGGTGGCAAAACAGGTTGCATGTTCACACCAATACCCGTTGAAGTGACCTGCTACGAACCAGAAACTTTTGGTCTCAAACTGTTGCAGAAAACCGTTGGTGTAGCACCATCACATCGCTCGAAAACTGTCTCACCCATGCTAGACTTGGCACAAATCTCTGAGGCATCTAACAAATTGCAAGGCTTACTCGAACTCATACTCAAGTATGTAGAGGATGTCATTGCACATAAGCAACCGCCAGATAATGCTGTGGGACGTCAGCTGCTCGACCTCATAAATTCCGTGCCACACATGTCACATGAACAATTCACACAGATGTTCAACGCCAACGTACGTGACCTGCTAATGGTTATCACATTGTCGCAACTGATCAAAACACAATTACAATTGAACGAGAAATTGACTTTCCTGCCAACAAATTAAAAGTAAACAAAACAAGAATTAAAAAAATAGTTTTAAATTTGTAATCACATAATTTTGGTCGCGGCAGGGAGTTGTAAAGGAAAGTAAGTGCGCGCAGAAATAAAACAAAGGTTTAACAATGATGGAACATAGAAATGTTAGTAAAATATTTAAATATATTTGTATGCTGCGTGCAAGAAGGAAAAAAGCTGTGTTATTTATTTGCCGTTATTATAAAAATGTATGCAGTTGTAGATCGGAGAAAAAGCAAATTCTGTTTTATGTTTTGACATTTATTTAGAATTTCAATTTAAAAATAATTATCGTAGCACGAAACGATATTGTATTATTGAAGATTATATGCGCGTCGTAAGACATAAAAATCTTTTTTATTTTTATATATGTATATTTATGTCGTGATTAGCGTTCACGGAAGTTGTACATAACAAAAAAAGCTACATTAGCTTATTTATGTGATTATTTGCATTTGACTGCGCTCAGAGCAGAAGGCAAACACAACTTCTTGCAACGCCCTTTACATGTTCACAACACCGCTTGGAGCTCAAGAATGCTACATAATGTGCCATTGTGTTGCTGACAAGCCTCTGTGTTGCTGACAGACGGCTGCTCAGTATAATAAATTCAATTTTCCAATAATTGCATTTGAATCTATGCGGAGACCTTAATGCTATTTTTTTATTTTGCGAAATCTCGTAATTTGCTGCCACCGTATAATAACAGCTATAACAAAAACAAATTGTAAGTCAAAATATGCATTATTGCCAGACTGCAAACGGATAATTTCCCATGCAACTTCATGTTTAATGCTCCGCATTACATCAAAAGCTAAGCACAGTTGTTGCGCTAGGGTTGGTGAATGATGCACAAGTGGGTGGCAACCCAACGGAGAGTTAAATCGTGCGGAGCAATGAAAATAATAAAGAAAGAAAAATAACGAAATTATGAAGCGTAAAGCGCACAAAATACATAAAATGCACAAAAGCGCTGCTGCAATGGCAATATAACATCAACTATTGCAACAACATTAACAAAATTCGCTTTGCAAGCTCACTGGGGTCAAGGTCGGACGCCCAATAGATGAGCAACAGGAAAGCCAGCTGCCAGCCAGTAGTGGTTCGTAGCAACAGTGGGTGGTTTAGGATTTTACAATATTGCAAACATAACAATAATATACATATATATGTACTTATATGTGTTGGTCAGTTTTTTTTATTATTACACGGTCTATCGGCTCGCTGGTAGGCGTGTCATTTAACGATTTCTTCATATCAGTTTGCCACAAACGATTTAGAATAAAATAAATCACACAAATATTCAATCAACAATAGCAATCAATAAATACTACAGCAACAAAAACATGCGCTTTGTTGCAATATAATAATTATAGCTTTAGGCAAAATGTAAGGTCAATTGCATTGTAAACCGTTATCTTGGCTTAGTAAAGCAATTTAAAAGCGATACACAATTATTTGATGGCAGTTAGCTAGCATGAGCAACAACAACAACAGCAATAGTTTTTCTTGTTGAAATTGACCAACGACTGGTAATAGTTTATATGACAGCTTGTAACCATTTGAAACATAATTCAAAGCTTTATCCGGAGAAGTAATAGCCTCTTTTTACATCATTTATATACTGAAATTTGTGTCAGTAAGTCATGTATGTGCATGTATGTGTGTAATGAGCCCAGCTGCTGATTTACTTTTTCTTAAATTTTTGCAAAATGTATTATGTCACACGGTTTTGCGGGAGTAATTGGATATTTTTGCGTCATCATCAGCTGCCGCACAGGCCTTAAATGAGATGAAAAGGCGACAGGGTAAATAAATAACTGCCGGTTTGTGTTAAAAACGTAATTTTACAACAATTGCCAGGTAATATTATTAAAATTACATATGCACATGGCAACAATAACAAATACTGTACACTGCCAATCAAAGGCGGCAAATAGGGCAAACCTAGACAAGTGCTGATATCAATTACAAGCTAATCCATGGTTATATATAAATGCGAATATAAGCACCTGTAAGTGCACCAGGTGAAGTACTTTCATACAATATATGTATGGATGTATATACATATTTGTTTTTATACCCTGAACAGGTTACTTATAAATATTAAGTTTACCATGAAGTTTGTAACACCTAGAAGGAAACTTCGTCGACTTAGCCATGCCCGTCTGTCTGTCCTGTTTTTATATACGCTAACTAGTTTCTCAGTTTTTGAGCTACCGATCTGCAATTACACACACGTCTTTTTCTCTCCCAAGAAGCTGCTCATTTGTGGGATTTGCCGATATCGGACCACTATAGCATATAGCTGCCATACAAACTGAATCAAGCTTCTTGTATGTAAACTTTTGTATTTGTGAAAGGCATTATAGTTTCGGCGCAACCGAAGTTAACGTTTTTTTCTTTTTTGTGAATTTTACAACACACATATGTACATAATTTGCAAAATTTAATGCAAATATTAAGCAACTGAATATTTTAAGTTTGGAGAGTTAATTTTCAATTTCTCTAAAAAATTTTTGTATTATATGTGCAAAAAATCATAAAATTTTAAATTCACATTGTTTTTGCAACAGCCTCCGTTTAAATGTAGTTTTGTTGAATACTGGTGTATTTATTTATTTTGGCATTTTTTATGGGTTTATAAATCTGTATTCATTCCGCTAACCTAAACTGAACAGTATAAGGTTTTCGGTTTTTTTACTACTAAATTATACTTTTTTTTATTCAAATAGATTATTTTCTTAATTTAAAAATTAAATCTGTATTCGTTCCGCTAACCTAAACTGAAAAGTATGAGGGTTTCGGTTTTCTTACTACTAAATTATACATTTTTTTTTATTCAAATATTATTCAAATTAAGAAAATAAAATTCAAAATTTGTTTTTTTTTTAATTTAAATATTTTACTTAATTTATTATTCAAAAATTTAAATTTTTTGTACTGAAATATTTAATTTTTGTATTGCATTATTTTATCAAAATATTTTATTTATTTTTTTTAATTTTTTTATTTTTTTTAAATATATTTTTTTTTTAATATAATAATTAATTTTATTTTTAAATTTTTTTTTTTGTAATATATAATTAATTTTTTCAAATATTTTATTAGTTTTCTCATAATTAAAAAATTTTATTCAAACATTTTATTCATTTTATCTGTTCTTCTTACATATTTAATTTTTTTCTATTCTAATATTCAATAATTTAAGCTAAATTTTTTAACGTCATCCGCTAATTACTTTTTATATTTTTCGAAAACCACATTCCTGTCATTAATACCGTTGATAAATCAACGCATGCGTAATTTAACAATCAATTTCAATTAAATTAGGCCTAGATTTCATTACCCGAACACAATACTAAATGATTTCCTTCTATTACACACCCACACAAATATTGTTGATGCTTTAAGAGTAGTGTAATATGAGTAGTCTGCGCAACAGTAGACGTTTCAGCGTTTGTTAAACTTCTACCGAAGGGTTCATACCGCCAAACGGTTTCTAGCTTTACTTATGCGCTTGCTGTTGCTGTTGTTGCCTCATTGCTGTGCCACCAAGTTACGCAAAAGCGCGTTGCAAGCTTACTGTTGCCGTTAATTCGAATTTCTCGATATAAATAGCTGCCACAGCCAACGACAATGCATCAAAGCAACAGCAGCAACAGTTAGTACAGCATCAGCGTTAGCGTCGCAAAACATAAAAATGAAATATATGGTGAGTTGGACGCGCCACAGGATAATTATTCATACAAACATTTGAATACTTGAATTTTTGCAGCAAATTTTCTTTCTTGTCATCATCTGTGTGGCGGTATGCCTAGCAGCGGTTGCCGAGCCGGAGGATGCTAGCGCCTTGGAGGAGAAAAAAACCAACAAACGTGGCATCTTCGGCTTCGGCTACGGACATGGCTATGGTAATTATGGCGGCTATGGTGGCTATGGCGGCGGTTACGGCGGCGGTTATGGTGGTGGTTTTGGTCATTACGGCGGCTATCCACATTATGGCGGTGGTTATGGTTTCCACGGTGGCCCAATCTACGGTGGTCATGGCTACTTTCCTTACCATGGTGGTTATTATGGCGGCTATCATTGAGTGTCACAAAAGCACTCACATATATACAGTTATAAATCAATTGCATAGTTTAATATCGTCACTAACGGCAAGAAATGTGCATATGTAACGGTACTTGTTTGTGTAAAGTTTTAAACTTTCAACGGAAAATAAAGATTTTTGGTAAAAAACTGATATTGAACGGTATTGTTATTTTAGAAATTCTGTAGAAAATTAGATATTCATATAAACCGATTAAATTATGCACCGTAAAAAAATTAAATATTCTACAAAAACTAGTAAATACCAATTATCAATTATTTTCATAATTAGAGTTGCGAATTTTTAGATAAAACATTAGATTTATATTTTTGGAAATTGAAAGTTTAATTTTTAATTTAAAATGAGTAAAATCTCTTTTATTAATTATTTTAAAAATTATATTTTAAATTTAATAGAAAAATTTTGATTTTATAATAAAAATTGAAATTTTAATTTTTAATCTTAAACATCTTCGATTAAGTTGACAAAATATATTTTAATTAAAAAAAAAATTATTTAAAATTTCCTGTTTCTTTAAAAAATTAACCATAGTCATAAACTTGGGATTAACATTTTTTTAATTCGGTATTTTGGATAAAAAATTTCAATTTGATTAAGAATATTTTAATTTAAAAATTTTAATAAAAAAAAAGTTTATTCAAAATTTCCTTTTTATAATAACCAAAGTAATAAATTTCGTAATTAAATTTTTTTAATTCGGTATTTTTAAACAAAAAATTCAATTCGATTAAGAATTGCAAAAAATATATTTCAATAATACAAATTATTAAAAACTTTCTTTTTCTTAAAAAAAAAAACAAAAAAATTACCAAATTGATAAACTTGGAATTAACATTTTTTTAATTCGGTATTTCGGATAACAAATTTTAATTTAATTAAGAATTGAGAAAATATATTTTAATATAAAAATTGGAAATAGGAAATAAAAAAAATTAAAAGGGCTAAACAAGGAAGGATATATTTGCATTTACAATTAAATATAAATAATACAAAAAGGTTGAACTAGTTGAAAGTTTATTATAAACTTAATTTTTAATCCGGTATTTCAGATAAGAAATTTTAAAAGTATTTTTAATTAAGATTTTCGGGATAACACAACAAAAAAACTTTAATTCAAATGTTAATTCAATTATTTTTTAAAGCATAATTTGCAACCCCTCCCACAATACCTACTTTTTCTATGCTAAATGTGATTATGGTTTGCCAATAATTAAAAGTTCTTTTTGAACAATTTTATACATATAGGCCTTATATATTTGTGTATTCACATACTAATTTTTGCTTTGTCAGTATGTTTTCATAGCTAACAAATAAATTTAGAATTTACAAGCGTAACGATTGAAAATCTAATAACATTGGACATAAATTGATACCAAATATTCGCCATTCTTCAGTCTGCATTTAACAATTTCCTTTTCCGTTCCAATTTCATTTCCCGTTTCAACGCCTTCTGCTCCAATTCCTCGGCATGTTCGGCAAAGAGCGCATGCAACGCCGGGTACATGTAATGAAATTGCTCCAAATCACCCAACGTCACTTGCATATTATCAAAGGCTATCGCCACATTATTCAATTGTGGCTGCCCGTCGTCGCCGCCCACTAGTTGCTGCATGCGCGGCAATTTGGCGTAGCGTTGTGAGAAATGTGTAAGTATAATGTGTTGTGCTTGCATTTCGCGGCCCTGTGCGATGGCCTGTGAAATAGTGCTATGCATTTTTACTTTCGCCTCTTCGATCAAGTCATCTTCCATGGTGGCTTCATGTATGAGCACCGTGGAATTGCGCCCAAGCTCGACCAGATCGCGACAGGGCATTGAATCGCCACTATAAGTGATTGTTATTGGTGTATTGCCACCGGTTGGCGCTGGCAGTCGGAGGCTCACACCAAACGAGTGCGGACAATGACGCACCAAGCATGTGCCGATCGCATCAATGCCGAGATCAGCGCGTGTTTCGTGCAAAAGCATTGGTTGCTCCAACATATCGGCATTGCCGATAAGCGTGTAGGCTTGTGCGATATTCTCAATGCGTTCATTGTAGAAGTTCAACCAAGGCTGTATTTGTATGGGTGCAAAGAGCAATAATTTTTGCTCTGCCAGCGGTACTTCCGCTTGCTGCAGCAATCGCTGTCGCTCATTCAACAAGCCAATCAGTCCGATATGATGATCGGCATGCAAGTGCGAGATATAAATCGTTTTCAAATTGCGTACAACACTTTTGGCACGTATTTTGCCGTAGAAGCGCACAATTTGACCGAGTGTGCCCTCACCGCAATCGAGCAGCATAAATGAATTTTCGGCTGGTTGTATCATAATGGCGCTCACGTTGCGTGTTTTATTCGGTATGCAGGAGCCGGTGCCGAGAAAAGTGATTTTGGGATATTCAGCTGTGCATTTCGGTGCAGGCAGCGTTTGCTGAATATCTTTTAGTTTGCTGAGTAATGTTGGAAAGTCTGCGAGCGCCTGTGTTTCGCCAATATATTCGCTGGGATTGAGCTGAGCTTCCGCGCTGCGCTCAAGACCTGCAAAAATTTTTAAAATTAAAAATATAAAATGAAATCAAATATTAAATTACCCTTCCGCGGACGCAAATGAAAGTTTGTGAGCGAATTTATATTTGTTAGCTGCGTTTCATTAGCGTCAGCCGCTGCACTTGCAGTTTGCGTGCCTTCTGCCACATTTTCCGTTTCGCCCAATTTAGTTCGCTTCAATTTGTTGCTAATATTCAAACTGTTGCAGGCGTCTATTGCCTCAGCGAGCAATGGAAATGTACGCGCATTTAACTGATTTAGTTGATATTGTATACGATGCGCAGCTACGTAACCGGAAAAGTTATTGTGCGGCGAATTCAAATATAAATGCTGTGTACGCGGCGTGAAGTTCGCCATGAAATCGCGATAGCAATTGTTTTCCAACATTTGCGCAGGCGTAAAGTGTACCACCAGCGCTACTTCATTTTCCGTGTCCTGTTGCAGTTTTCGGAATACTTCCACTTGCGCTTGTAGTGCCGGCAAATACTCCGCAGTCGGTATATCTAAAAACACAAAAGAGAGCGCAGTTTCACTGGGTTCACTCACGTCCTTGGAAAGCACGACTGTGCCATCGGGTAATGTAACATCGAAGCCATTCTTCAGTTGACCCAACAGCGGACCTGGTGACACACCACGTTCAACACATTTTATCAAGTTAAGCGCACCTGGTCGTGGTTTTAACTTGCATATGTAAGCAACCACCATTTGATTGCTGGCGTCTATCATTTGCGCGGCATTTGATGTGGTCACTAATGGCTGTTTATAAAGCGGCACATACTTGACACTCATTAGGGCGTCTTCGAAGTCTGACGATTGCGTGCAATCACAGGTATTTATCTATCATACCAAAACATATTAGTATGCGCATACAAAAAGTATTATACAAACACACATACCTTCAGTGTTTTTAGTACGACAAAGCGTTTCATGCTGTGCAATATGCTATCCAAATGTGGTGGTCCATGCAGCGCCATTTCCTTAACGCCTGCGTCCTGCACAGTCAACGCTAAGCCTGGAAATCCACCCACTACCGGCCATGTATTGCGCGTCACGAAAATGTGTTCTAAACGCGCTAACTTTGTTTTATGCTCATGCGCCAAACGCTGCGTCCCTTCACCGCAGTTGAACAAATAACGTGCCTGATCGGTAAACAGATAGATGGCACTTGGTGAACCATTGGCACCGGCACCGAGCACTTGTAAATTCACTATACCTGGTATATAGGGTGTTGTTTTCTTTTTGGCGGCTTGTAGCTGTTTCTCACGCCGCAGCTGTGGTGGCGCTGGCTTAGGTTGTCGGGTGGTAACAGTTACTTTAGAGAGTACAGCACTAAGCGTATCCTTGCTTGCACATTCCTTTTCCATTTTACAATCAGTATTCTTCTGCTGCATGTCTGCTTGCGTTTCCTTTAACTGTGTCACAGTTTTGCTGTGTGCTCTTGTTATTGGCGATTCCATGTGCAGTACTGTGTTCACTTGCGTGTATTGTAAAGTTTTGACACGTGCAAAGCTACGTCGCCAAGTGCTGTTGAACAACATAAGCGTTTACCTGTAAATATTGTTTTTGTTGATGATTTTACAAAACCTTTTTTTGATGAAATAAATAATCAACACTGTGCTACCTAAAATGCAGCTGACTACTTGGGGGAAAAACACATGCGTCGCCGAAAACAGCGTTTTGACATAACTCAACAGCTGTGCGCTTTGTTAGAGATGATAGCGAAAGTAAGTATAAACAAAACGCCGCTAACTAGCGAGTAGAAAAGCCTACAAAAGTTCACCACCCAAGTTTCTACAGAAATACACCAATATTTATTTGTTGTGTGTTTAATTGAAACTAATTAAAAAGTTTTATACGAAAAAATTCAACATATTAAAGTATATAAAAAATAATTGTTTGTTACTATATTAGAAGTTCCATTACATTGTTCTAACTTCCATTATTATTTAAATCGAACCCCTTTCAGCTTTTCATAGTCCACAGACCGCCGACTAGTTGGGGGCGAATGCCAGCTCCAAAGCAAACTACAATACAATTCCACTTGTGTGTTGGTGTGCTAAAGTAGAAGAAGAAATAGCAAGAACGTGTGTGGAGGTGCAGCGTTGCAAAAGCAGCAGCCAGTAGCAGAAATTGAGGTTGAAAAGGGAAACAAAACCACACAAAGATAAAAGCTGGAACAAAAGTGTGTTGGGAGAAAAATTTTTCTTCGATATTGAGCTAAAATTCATCAGAAAATGTCCTCGCGAAGGTAATTAGAATATAAAGTGTACTTGGATTATGCCAATTGACAAATATGGCGCTGGTATTTAGTGTAAAAACACGTTTCAAATGTGTACAAAAAGTGAAATTTTGCAAATTGGCATTGTACTCGTTTGACATATATACTGCTATACGCGATTACTTTGTGTGTACGGTGATGTGCGACTGCGGTCGCGGTTGAGACCAAAGCCACTGCAGCTGGCTGGCTGGCTATCGGACTGCCTGCCTGCCTGCCTGATTGTCTAGCAATGTGTTGCGTTGCTGCTGTGGCCTTCTGTTGCTATTGCTGTTGCTGACTGCCCTGCTGGTGCTATGCGTTGTTGCTGAGTGCATGCTGTCAAACGTTTACGCGTGTGCTTATATGTGTGGATGCATGCATATAATGAGTATATGTGTGTATGCGTTTTAAAACGCTACTGTCGTCATTACCACCACCACCCGCACCCAAGCGCATATATAAGGCTATTAGACGATTACGATTTTGCCGCTTAGTAGCAAAGCGACGGCAACAAATTTGTTATAAATGTAGATGTAGTTTGATGAGCATTGGATTAATAGAAAAATTAGAAGATAGGAATGCCTCAAAACACTTCTAACAGCTATGATAACAGCTGTGATGTGACATGGCCTTCCTCACGTTTTCGTTGAAATCAGATAAAATCGCTTGTCAAACGTTGTTAGAGATTACACTTACAACACAGAATATCCGTGCGACCCAACCTCCCACCTGCAAACTGTCAATAGCAGCTGCACACGACCGGCTTCACACTCGTGTCCTGTGCACACAGCTGACGAGACGACCAAAATCACTGCTACACACGCACACGCACGCATACGCAAGCGATAAAGCATACATACAAAAGAAGTAAACTAAAGCACGCTTATTAAAATAGCTCCAGGATTTTGTACAAAAATTAAGAAATAATAAAAATGGAGAATAATGATTCCTATGTGAATTTGCAGGCAGAGAAACGTTTTGAGCTATTACGTCGAAAAAAGTCATTGCAACTTAAACCAGTGTTAACTATTTTGTTAATTAAATTTTTTTCTTTCACTTGTGTAGATGGTTTCATCCAACAATAAGTGGTATAGAAGCTGAGAATCTGCTGCGTGAAAAAGGCTTCGATGGCTCATTTTTGGCACGCCTCTCATCCTCAAATCCTGGCGCTTTCACGTTATCGGTACGCCGCGGTCAAGAGGTGACGCATATAAAGATACAGAACAATGGTGACTTCTTTGATTTGTATGGCGGTAAGGAGCATAGGACATATTAATATTAACACTTAAATAAATTAATTAAATTTGCAATTATATATTGGTTTTAGGTGAAAAATTCGCAACACTTCCTGAATTGGTACAATACTATATGGAAAATGGTGAGCTGAAGGAGAAAAATGGACAAGTTATAGAACTAAAGCAGCCATTGATCTGTGCTGAGCCCACAACCGAAAGGTAAGTGACAGCTAAACAATTAATTGATTTTTTGTATATAATGTGCAAAAATTGTGTAAAAGTGAGCAATAGTGCTAGTGCTACTAAGTGATTATGAAAATAGTAACAAGGAAGAAAAATACTACAAAAATGTTAAGTAGCAACAGTTGTTGTAGTTGTTACTTTTAATTATTTTTTTTATTATTAAATATTGCTTTATGAGTATAACTATCACGTACATACACTTATTAATATTTATTAATATTAATGTATGGTATGTAGATATGTACATATATGCAAGTGCTGGCGTAGGTGGCGTATGAGTAATTCAGTTTGGATTTCGAAAATGCATTCGCTAATCGCAAAGTGGCGAAATATATATGTATGTATATACATACATACATATGCATATATGTTTATTATGTATGACATGTGTATTACTGTATTGAAGTATCGAATTATTGTGTGATAAGCTCATAAGCTAAATAAATATGTACTACATGTTCAGCTTCGATTGTTTGAAATATTGAGAGTCGCTACTGCAGTGTACATAATGTGGCATTGATATCAGAAATATTATACGCAATCACAAAGGATGAGTTAAAAAATTCTCTATAGTGCATTTTTTTATTAAAATTAATAATGTATGTATATTCTAGTTTTTCAATAATTAATTAATTTTGTTAAATAATAACTTAAATATATTTTAAAGGAAACTTTATTAAAACACATTTGACATCACCAAAATGCTATTACATGCTATTATCTAGCGCCTAAATGTAGGCTGTATTTAATGAATTGTGATTTAAAAAGCTTGTGTTTACTTCTAGAAGAACTTTCAGCTATTTTCAAACAAAATACAAAAATATAACAAAAAATATTTTAAAGAATCTAATGGTTTGCCAAATTTATAAAATACTCAAATATGTGTATGTAAATATAAATTATAAAGTCTGGTCACTCTACAAAAAAGTGTAGAAGCTTAAATAACTGTTATTATATTAATGTTAACACTTGTAACACATCTATAAATATTTTTCGCAAATGACCTATTAACAAAACTTAAAAGTTTTTGATATAAGAACCTAAAAAATTCTCAAAATGTTAATTTTTTAACAAAAATTAGACAACTACCTCCAAAGTTCGTAGTTAGATGCATATTTCGTCTAAAAATGTCTCTTCTATTTATAAATAGTTGTTCATCGCGATTCCATTTATAACAAAAGCAATTGAAACGCTAATTAAGTTATTTTATATATTAATTTACAAAAATAAAGTTTAGCATTTAAATTTCGGAGCAGTTCAAGTAAGGTCCAAATTGTTTACTTAAAAAAAAAAAAAAAAAAAAAGTTATATATAGATAAAATATATATATATATAATAATATATATATAATCGCAAAAAAAGCAAATCGCGTGCATTTTAATTTCTTAAATTTATCATTCTTTTTTGTTTGCTGTTGTAGCATACCACGTATACTGTATGCCTCCTGAAATTAATTATTTTATTTTATTGCCACTTAATATTGGAGTGAACGCCAACGCAAACATATTCGCAACAAAATAAATTCTGCATGTGCAAATGTATATGTGAGTGTATAAAAATACGTTCTTTTATTTATTGTTCCATATTTAACGGCCCACATTTTTGGCATATGCGAAAATTTGTTGAACTCTAAGTGCTGTACGCAAACGCTTCGTACAGTCCATTGTCATCACTGTTTGGCATTAAATCGTCAACGAAAAATGAATGAAAAACGTTGATGAAAAGAATTACCCAAAAACCGAGTGATAATCAATGCAAAAGCACACAATTTGACTGCCAGTTCTATGCGCTTTTTAAGGCACTTAATCGCATAATTACTTTTCCTTATTAGTGGATGATGGCTTTCTTAAAATGAAATGTCCATAAATTTCTTTTGATATCGTGTTTTAAAAGAATAAAAAATTATGAATTAAGTGAGAAAGTTCAAATATTGATAAATAATTATCCTTTTTTTGCAAATATTTTTCGCACTAGTTTAACCTAAACAACTTAAATCTTGTGTTTAATTTGGTTTTTGCCGAAACAATGGTGCTAATATTTATGGTTAGATTTGCTTGATTGAATTTTTTTTTGTAGTTTATTTAAATATGGTTTGGTTGGTAGAGAAAAAAAAAATATAACATAACAGAAGACTGAAAATAAACGTTCCATACCTTGATTTAGAAAGTCTCCAAACTCTCCACTTATTTTTTAGACTGCAAAACTGCTTAAACATAAAGTGAAAGTCATAAAAAAAAATATGGTGGCTTGTAAAGTATTTTTCAAAAGTCTCCAAAGTTTGTAGATACAAAAATCATAGATACTTAGCTTTTACTGACATAAAATATATATTAATTGTCTTATGCCTGTTTGAGATATCTTCACTACTCAATAGCATAAAATATGCAAAATACATCAATTTTGTTTAGAATAATAAAATAAGCAGTAAGAAAATCATCTTGTTACAATAAAAAACAAATTAAGTGCAAAAATTCATTTGTCACCTTTCTAAAGTTCTATACGTAACCCACGTGATAATTTATATAATTAATAGTATAGTATTATACAATGAACAAATTAAGTTTATTTAAATCTTTTAAACATTCATTTTTTATTTCAAAACTTGCGATCTAGAGTCGTCAATTATCACACTTGACAGTTATTTCATCATTAATAAAAGAGCGTGATAGAAATTAAGTCTAATTAATCACATTAGAAATCTGTTACGCGTATATTAATTCAATCGTTATCAACTATTTTAATTTATTTATTTTTATTAAAAAGGGCGAGAGTTCTAAAATCCGTAAATTTATTGTAAAATTTGCATTCAATGCAGTTTTTACAAAGTCTCCAAACTCTACACAAAATTGTTATCGTACATAAAACCGCTAACACTTCTAATAAGTAGTATAAAAACAAAAACTACGCTTGTTTTATCATTTTCATAAAATCTCCAAACTCTACACAAAGTTTTTATTATAGTTGAAACCGCCAAACGCTTACAAAAAGGCAATAAAAACCAAAAATGTGCTCGTTTTACCATTTTCATTAAATCTCCAAACTCTACAAAATATTTTTTATCATAGGGAAAATCGTTAAATACTTATAAATAGGCTATTAAATCCAAAAGTGTGCTCCTTTTCTATACAACAATAACAATAAACTACAATGTTTATGTTAAAATAATAAAAGTTATTTATAAGTGTTTGAGTGTATGATTTTTCACAATGCCTACAAACTCTACACACCTGCTGATAATTAATTATTGTGTATTTCCCGCAAAAAGTGCTCGTTAATTTAAACTAGTTTACATAACAATTTGATATACTCACTACTGTTGAGTTTAATTAATTGTTGCAGTGATTCCTTTTTTGCGTAGTCACGTTTTTATTTGCGAGAAAATAATAATTTCGTTAAATTTTGCCAAATGATTTATCATTCGACGATGCTTAGATAACCGTTCCTTCAACGTGGTTGTCAATGCGCTATCAGCTTTAATGTCTCCGCTGCCTTAGCGCGCAACGAATTGCTAACGAGCTGTTTTTCAGTTATACTTAGCCCTGTGGCATGAGCGCTGCTGAGTGCTAACCGTTTGCCCTTGAAATGTTACGCGTTTGATTATCTAGCGATCGTTACATTTATCTGCCTGTCAAAACTGTTTAACTTAACTAATTTTCAATTTAGTTTATTTAATGGAGCATTTTTTCAATTTTTCTAATTCCAGTCACGTTTTTATAAACAATTTACATAAGCATATTGTACATATGTATGGGTATTTGTATACATGTGTGTGTATAGGTATTTAGGCCTTTACGACGCGCAAAACAAGTAAAACTTACTCGCCACCTTAAAGAGGGTATTTTTTTTAAATTGAACTAAGAAGGCGTATTGAAATTTATAACAAATATAATTATAGCCGCCAATTAAATTTATAAAATCGCCGACGAACTGAGAATGTAAATTGGTTGTCGTGATAGCGATCATCTGAAAATGTTCTCAATCAGCGCAGTTAGTGGTTACTTTGTTCGTATTAGATATAATTTCACATACAATTGTGGTAACACGTAGTTTTATAGATCCACTGCAATGTAATAAAAAATTATACAATAAATTCTTTCTATTTAAAAATTTTGGAGACCAAGCTGTTAGCTAATTGAGCTGCGTATAACTAAGAAATCGTTAACAAATTTACTCAAAAAACGTTTCGTGTAGTTAATTACTAATTTTAAATTATTTTAAAGAAAGTCTCCAAATTTATTTTCTCCAAAATTTATATAAATTATCATTATTTGGCTACCAGGTATATATTTATATTATATATTTACACACGAAAATTTGTTAAAAAGTCTCCAAAAATTGTTTTACAAGAGTTCTATGAATTATTAATAATTGGGTGCCTGTTAGTACTTTAAGTTATTTAATCACACTTGAAATATTTTTAAAAAGTCTACAAAAATTATTTCACCAAGAGTTCTATGAACTATGATAATTTGGATGCCAGTTAGAAGTTTAAGTTTTTTTTTATCACACTTGAAACATTTTTTAAAAGTCTTGAAACATTTTTTCTCCAAGGTTTGTTTGAATTATCATAATTTGGATGCCAGTTAGTAGTTTAAATAATTTAATCATACTTCGAAACATTTTTAAAAAGTCTCCAAAATTTTTTTCATCAAGATTTATATGAATTATCATAATTTTTATACCATTTAGCAATTCAAATACTATAATTACACTTAAAACATGCCTCAAATGTATTTTTCAACGTCTCCAAAAAAGTTAATGGCTAATTTTTTAATAGCTGTCTTCGATTCGCCAAGCG